TCTGAAAACCGTACAGTAAATTCAACTGGGATTCTGCTAAGTAAAGCTATTGGCATTTTAGGTAATGAAAATCACCAAGCTTTAAGAGCTGTGTGCTTTGGTTTCTGTGTTATGAAATTTTACTCTATTCAAAGTATCAAAAGCCTACCTACTATGTAAGTCAATATTACAATGGTATTCAACCAAAGTTCACAGATATTGTCGGTAAGAGTTTGTGTTCCTAGGATCAATTTGTCAGAAATTAGATTCATCTAGGTATTTGGGGAGGTAGAAGCTATAAAATTTGGTGCCCTGCACCCGTCTAAAATGTCCTCAGTCTTCTAATCTATGCCCAACAATAAATGTGCAGTTGCCCAGACAGAAGACTGTCGTACATCATAAGAAAGTGTGTTAGACCTTCCAAGCCTGCATCACGTGATTTTTCCACTTCCCACTCACATAATTAGTGTTCTTTTCCTCTTCTAAAAAAAAAAAAGACATGCCTGTTTCAAATTTGTATTATTTTTTTCAGATGTCTAATTTCAGCTACGTTCTTTCTCTCTTTGGTCTCTTCCCGAGTTTCACATACCAGACAAATAGTTAAAAGTCTGCAAAACCAGGCGAACTTCCAAAATATTTCAAAATGAAACTGCCCTAGGTGACAGAACAAGGAAAGAAGGCAGAGCCTGCAGGACCAAGATTTCAGCACACTGGCTGAAAATGTGTTGGAAAATCCATTCAGGTTGCCAGCAGCACTATGGATGAGATTTCGATGAGGCATAAACATCCAAGTGACTGATAAAACCAACATGTTCCATGATCACTCAAAGCTGTTCACTTGTTGCGGTGCATTCTGGGTGCACTGTTAGTTAAGTTGATACCTGTCCTTTGATCATTGTTTTTCCTGGTTTAGCATTCAGAAAATGAAAGTGTTTGAGAAAACATCCAAAGTTCTGAGAATAAATATAAGTGAGATTTTTTTTTGTATGCCTATCATTTGTAAAACTTACATCTTTTACATAGTGTTTATTTGTACATAATAAAAAATTTCATAAGGAAATTTTTTTCTGGAAAGTATTCTATATGCTAATTTGTTTAACATGTGCTTTGGATATAGAGCTAAGTAAGAGTAGCTTTACGAAATTCTTTCTTCAAGTATTCCCTTTAACGATGAAAAGAAAGCTCATTCCTAAATATTTGTTCTTCTTTCCCATTGATCCTTTGTTTCTGATAACTTGTGCAACCTGAACTATACAAAGAACAAAATGTCAGAGTTCAGAATATACTCATATACTTCAATAAATTTGCTCATTGCATAGTGAACATGTAAACTCACAGAGAATCTATAAATGTCACCCTATAATCTAAAAAAGGTTGCTGAAATTTTACATCATAATTTATTCTGATGTTTACTTTGTTGTAGTTTGGGCTTACTATTTTATTTTTATCCATGTGTCAACTAAATACAATAAATGAAAATAAGTCATAAAAGTTAAAAATCAAAGAAAATAATTTCACCTAGTTCTCTAGTCTATATTTCCCACCTTGGGCATAACAGGCTGCAAGTGTACTGTCCTGACTCTTTAAGACAGTGTTCAAAATTAATTTCAACAATGTGTGCTTAACATAAAGTTAACTATGTTTGCATCAAATAAAATGTTTATTAATGAAAGCTATTTATCATACAGGAAACAGCAAAGTCAGCATTACAGAGATGTACACTAGAGGTGATAGATGCAAAAGTGCATGCAGAGCCTTCTGTTTAGAAAGGAAGGACAGACAATAATACTAAAATCACTGGGTTTGATCCCTATGCTCTCGTGAATGAGTAAAAGTTACTCTTTGAATTTACAATTGGAAAATAACATTAAGAAATAGAACTGATACACCTTAGCAAGCAGATGAGATGGATGTTTTTGGACTTTATTTTACAGTTATATTGTGCTTGACAGATGTGTGGAATTGTTTCAATAATAATTTTCTCGAATGTGGGGCGGGCATATTACTGCCAGGTTGCTCTGGTTGGTTTTCTACATGGTTTATCTTGCTCTTTTATTAAACCACATGAGGTTAAGCCTTCATTTGTGTGAGACATCATAAAGAACAGAAGTTTTGTTAACATTCAATAAATGACACTTAAGTCACTCTCTCTCAATCTCTCTCTCTCTCTCTCTCTCTCTCTCTCTCTCTCTCTCTCTCTCTCTTTTGGTTCAATAAACTTTTAAATGTATGATTATCATAACCTAATAGTGTCTTTGTCTTCACTGCAGTGGATTTCCGATCAAACTTTTCCCCTTCTTTTAATACTTTAGGGAATTTTCAAACGTCGGGATGTTTGGCTGTAATGCCCCAAGATTTGTTCTCCCTGAAAAAAAATCATAGTGACAATTTATTAACTACAGAGCAACTTGGCTTTTAGGGGTCTGCAATTTCTATTTAGATTTACAAATATCCACTTGTGCTCAATAGACCTGATGTTAAATCTTAATCATCTCTAAGTTTCTTTTCATGCACCTATGGGTCTGCTCATTTATTTTTATTCTAAAAATTGAATTGAGTCAAATCAGTGGGGCATTACTTTTATTATAAACAAGGATATTTAAGGGTAATTCAAGATTGAATCACATCTTATATACAATGGTGTGTGTATTTAACATGAGTCACAAGTTTGGAAACCTAAGAACTATTCGTCTGTTTGAATTTTTTAATTGCGCTGCTATGTCTTATCTTTTACACATAGATAGTGGAAGCATACTAATACAAGTAAAACTGATGGGAAATAAAACTCCTTAGATTCAAAATGGTTTATTCACACAAATTTAATAGGATATATCACAATTGTTTGGTCCATAAATATTTAGGGGAAATAGTTTCTATACAATGCATTTATCAATAAACAAAGGAACATGGACAATTTTGCTAGACCACTTACTGTACTATAAACACGAAGCTCAATATATAAGATTATTGAATTTATCAACTATATTTGAAAGAGTGCACAACTGCTTTCTATGACATGTTTGTCCCCTCTAACAGGATACACCATAAAAAGAGTTTCAGAAATAAGAGGTAAAACAGTACAAAACTAGCGAGGTGTCAAAGGGCTTGAAACAGTTAATTTAACAAACAACACATATATCCTGATTTTTCACAAACTTATTTCCAAGTTATATCATAAGGCACATAGGAGAACTGAGTTATAATTAGTCTACTTAATAAAGTAGGTCTGTAGTACCATATATTGTTCTGTCAAAGAACAAAATTTCTAAGTATCGATATTTTTACCTGTAAAAGTGTGTTAATAAAGATCTCAGCCTTAACAAGGTTGTTTGGTCTGGTTAGTGGTAAATGCCCAAAATGTAAGAGAAATATGAAAAGTCAAGATTTAAGCTCCATAGAAGATGACCACACTTGCTAAATATATAATGGCGATCACACTCTTCTTCTGTTACAGTGTTAGCTTCTCTTCCATCATCTTTTTTTTTTTAAAAAATAAGCTACTTTCTGTGCTAATTTTCTAAAGACCCTGAGCAAAAGTTACAATAATGCACTTTAATGTGGGCAGTGAACTGTCGATATGTAACCACACATTTATACAGCCAGAAGGGCACCTTTAAAATCTATTAAATAGCCACTTCGACCACCAGAGGAGATTTAAGGGGTGCAAAAAAGTGGACAGTATGTGCAAAGTCATTCTTAACAATCCACTAAAGCAAGACATAGATCTTGACTTCTTCTTTATTATTTTAGGAAATCCACAATCTAGTTGGTTTTTTTTTTTTTTAACTACAACAGAAGCAGATAGATGAACATTCACCACTGCCCAGACCATTAAGATTTCACCTTAAATTAAAAGAAAAAAATGCTGCTGTAAACTACAAAATATATTCAGATCAGCATCCACAAGGCTTCTGAGTTTATCTGCTTTAAGACTCATAACTTCACATCTGTGATATTAAAAAGATTTTTATACATAAATCAACCCGTGCCAAAATAAAATAAAGAAAAACCAAATAATTCTCATTGTTGGTATTAGTTTACTAAGTTGCTTGAAAAAAAAAAAGACATTGTGTCGAATGCCAGATACAATATCATGGTACAGCTGAAGCCAATTAATTATTAATTAAATTATGCCAATTTTTTACTTCTTAAAAAATTGTATTTTGCTTATTTCCATTTCTCTAGGGAGAAAAGGTTAAGTAAACAGAATAGTTTCAGAGACTGGCTAAAAAAAAGTTTTCTTTTTTCTCTCTCTTTTTTTTTTTTAATGTGGGAGGTTAAAAGTACAGAATTTCAAATTTTAAGTGTAATTTCCATGGATACACAAGGAGTTTAAGTTTTTTTTTAATTTTGAAAAACAGTAAAAAGTGGAGGGGGGGTATACAGTCCTAACAAGAGGAAAAGTTACCTTCCTGAGTTAGACTTCCCGCCCAGTTAATCATTACTCCTTAAAACTGATGTTAATACTTTTGTTTAACTATATCCCTCACTTGAATTAATAGTTCAGGTTAAAAACAGCCGTAATAATACATTTGTTTTTAAATTTTTTTAACATGAAAAATTTTAATTGTAAGATTTTAAAAAGCAACTAATTGCCTGGTTCCTTAATAACTTGATCACAGAAACAGGAGTATGATTTGCCCATCGTAATACCATCCATTTTTTTTTTCCCTTCGAGATTCTGGAAATAAGTAACATACAATTTTAAGAGGCACTTTAATAGAATGATTCAAAATCTCCCCTTACCAACTGAAAAAAAAAAAAAAAAAACCTGATTAAAGAAAAAAAGATCAAATACACCTTGTAGACAAAATACGTTCACTTAAAAGCGACAATACTGTAAACTCATAGCCAAGTGGTGTAGATGCTACACACCAAGCTGCTACTTTATTCCCCAAATATCTTGTGGGTTAGGAGAAGGAAAAAAAAAAAGTCTCGTAAATAATAAAATAATAATATTAGAATAATAATAAAAAGAGGAAGAATCCTTTTTAAAAAGAAAAAGAAAAAAAAAACCAATGTTAGAAAAGGTTCGTTAAGGTAGTCTGTGAGGGGCTTCCGGATTCGTGGCTGTCCATGTTAGAGGTCACAGACGTCACTACAGTGACAGTGGGATTGGTCAGGTCTGTTAAAGTGGTCGCAGTGCCGGGTGGAGTGAGAGCGCCGCTGTCTGCTGAGGGCGGGGCCGGAAGCGACGTGCCGTCAGCTTTATCAACACCCCCATTCTCCTGCCGCAAAAGGTTCCTTCTGAATTTGGCTCGTGCGTTTTGGAACCAAACCTGCAAACCAATCCCAATTGATTTCTTTATCGATTTTTTTTTTAAGTTCTTTTCTCTCTCTTCCTTTTTTCTCTCTTTTTTCTTCCCTTTTCTTTCCTCTATTTCTCCTATTAAATATCATTTTTCTTGGAAAGTAGACTTTTTTTTTTTTTTTTACTTCTTTCAAAATAGACTAATTCGGGTAATAATAGAATTATTCTCTCTTAACTGTACATATTCCTGCATTAAATGTGCCCATTAAATGGGATAACTGGAGCAGAGAAACCATGGAAACAAAGACATGGAGACTAGGGGGGAAACTATACCATCCCTCAAAAGAATAGGGGAAAATGGGGTCACCAAAGGTATCTCAAAGGAGGAACTACTCACGTGAGGGAACACCACCAGAGTTTAAGTTGTTTGCTGGTCTGACGCCTAACAAAAGCTCTACAGACAGTAATACTCTTCCCAGCCAGAGAACAGAAAATGTCTGCTAAGGGTCACTGAGGGGGAGATCACAGGCCACTCACGGCAACCTTGTATCATTTTATAATTCTTACTATAAGTCTGGGGAAGCAATTCAACGCCCCGAATAACTCTGGATTGGTAAAGTGGAAAAATTATTGCTCCAACTGCTTGCTGTGATATTAACCTTCCCTTTGACTGTTCAAGAGCTGGGGGTGGGCCACCTGAATTTCGAAGGTCGTAACATTGAGTGAGCTGCCAAGAGTTTGTAGGCATGGGACAGCAGATCCTTAGAAGCTAGTACTCTAAACTCAGTGTGAGTGGACATCCCTGCAGGCAACACTTGTTTAAAGTCAATGCCATTTACACAGCAATGAAGCTTTAGAGCCCATCTCTCCATCTGTAGGGAGAATGTGAGTCCTGGACGCCTCCTTGAATACCCTCCAGGAAGCCCCTGTAGGAAGATAACTATGGGAGGAGACTACTAGGAAGCAGAATAGGAAATATTCATATCCAGGTGATTAGGGAGAGAACTAGTCACTGTCAAGGGCAAGGGAGAAGATATACACAAAGCCAACGATGAACGTGTCTTACCTGCAAAACTCTTTTGGTCAGGCCCGTTTTTTGAGCAAGCTGCTTGAGGTCCTTGGCATCTGGGTTGTGGTTGATGGCAAAGTAGGATTTCATGGTCCGGAGCTGGTGGTGCTTGAAGGAAGTTCGCATGCGTTTAGTCTTCTGTGAAGGTGGATAAGGCTGCTGGTCCCGGTCCAAGTGGTCTGCCTCATTCTCATTACAACCTGTTGCAGCAACAGTGAACAAAAAAAACGAAACTGCTCAGTGGAAACTTCTCCATTGGCTTAAACGACATAGGGTGTTTGCTATGCTGTCATCATAAAGTAAAAGGCTGTCAACCAGTGGGGAGTGATAACGAGGCAAGAAGACAGTGACTACAATCAGCTAACCTATGCTATTGGGATACAGCTGGTTCACAGGATAGAAAATATAAGATAAAACCTTCTCTCTCTGCTTGATGCTCCAGGAAATGTGGGGAGTAAGAGCAACCTCAAAAGAGGAAGAGGAAGAAGGAGAAGGGGAAGAAGAAGAAGAAGAAGAAGAAGAAGAAGAAGAAGAAGAAGAAGAAGAAGAAGAAGAAGAAGAAGAAGAAGAAATTCTTTTCTGATAGTTTATGTGGATTTGCACCCAGGTGTCCACATTCACATGGGTTTGGGGTTTTTTGTTGTTGTTGTTGTTGTTTGTTTGTTTGGGGGGGTTGACATTTTGCCTATTTCTGGATTGCCATGTACTGTGTCAAGGCACTGTTCTTTATCATGACAAATGTGGCAAATATATATTTCAGGTCTCAAGTTTCAAGTTATCTAACAGTACAGTACATGTATACACACACAGGAAGCAAAGGAATAATCTAAAGCATTTTCTTATATTTGTGGAGCTTTCTCGACTGGGAAAAAGAACGTGGCTGAAAAAATGAGGAGACATGAAAAAATGACATGTTTTTGAATGTCTTAGAGAATCATAAGAGCAGTGTATTTGAAGAGTTTCAGCTAAAACTGGTTAGCTTGAGCTATGCTAGGAAGAAAACATTTTCCCTTGGAGTTATTCTAATAAATATTTCTGAAAGAAAATGATCCCAGCCTTCTCACTCACTCATGCCTGAAGCACTCCCCACAGCTCACTGTTGAGACATACTGATGGTTTCTACCCTGCTTGGTCCCCTGTGTTGTGGACGTGTGTGAGCCAGGTATGAGCTGTGCCCCTGACTGGCTGGCAGGAAGAGGGCAGCGTCTTCTCTGCTCTTGCAAAACCCTCCTTGGAACCTAAGGGCAAAAATAAGTCAGTCTTTAAAGCCGGGGGGAAAGTCCTCATCCTTGAGATGGAAAAGTTTATTTTATTTAGAGCCATTTCCTAGTCCTGCACAAGACATGTGACTACAAGATGGAAACATTCCACTAAAGATTTACTAACTTCCCTACCTCTGCAATTCAAGGACATAGCTGTCTTTGGTTCTTTAAACCTTTATTTCACATGTTCATCTGATGGATTTTCACATCTGACCATCCTGCGCTTCAACACATTATTTAAAATCAACCTGATCATGTCATTCTGAAGGAAAAGCTTACATCTTTAAAGAAGTTACCCCTCTCCTCCTTTTTAAAGTGTTAGCTGCCTGACAGGCTCTGGTTAGAATTTCAGTTTTTTTTCCTAGCAAATCAGTATGTGTATATGCATATAAGTGCTCAGAAATCAGTATGTATGCAGTTTTGTCATCATCAATCAGGAAATTAACTGCAAATAAAACTCATTTAATGAGAAATTATTCCCAAATACAATAAGATGAAGAACTACGAACTTTTGTGTATCCTAAGACACAATGGTGGAAAGTTACAGGAGCAGAGTCATACAAAAGAGCAGGTCTGTGAGTTCTCTGGGGGAAAAGACTGTATCATAGTCTCTCTTGGATTCCCTAAGTCAAAAGCAAGGCCATGAACTTAGCAAGTACTCTCTTCAAGCCCTTTGTTCACCAAGAAAATCATAAGTGCACGTTAATACAAAGTCAAATCAATTTGAGATGATGTCCAAGTCAGATATACTGCCTAACTTTGATCTCAAGCTTCTTAGGCCTGATAGAATGGAAGCATATACCCCCTGATAACAGAGAGGATATAGTTTACATTTTACCCTATTTTATCCCAGGGGGGATATGTCAACTTCAAATAGTCTACAGAATTGCACTTTCAGATCCTCAAATGGATGAAACTGCATCTTGTGACTATAAAACTATGTTATCTCCAGTAAACTGAGCCATATTTCACAGCCAGATTACAAATACACCTCAGCAAAATGCTCAAAGAGGCGCATTCCAGTCATTGGAGGCTTCTTCAAATAAGATAGCATGCCTAGCCCATGTGAGCAACTTTCCCTGAGCAACACATCAATTGTGACAAAAGCCTCAACTTGATGTTTAAATAACGCATTTACTTATTTCTGCCTCTCCCAGGATAACATTTCCTAGAAATGAATATGATTCCCTACTTAGCTATCCAGCTATTCATCATTTGAAATGAATCTAAGAAAAAAATAGTTAAAATAAGATTTGAGGAAATTGCTTTTCTAAATATATGTACTCTGTGTTTGGTTTTGCTCATTGTAAATTCAGTACAGCGGTTTAGTGCATTAGAAAGAATTATTGGGTCTGCTGCCACATAACAATTTAATGTGGAAGAACATAGGCTTCAGGTCTTTCTTACAACGTACGATTTTCACGATAGAGAAATCTGTTTCTGCCACAATATGTCAGCTTATCCTAAATTATTTGTGTTTAATGACAAAAGCTTTATGTAAATTTGCAAGTGATCGTGTTTCTCCCCATTTCTAAGCCTTAGGGATGTTTCCCCCTGAATTATAAGAACAAATAGCTCTCTTTAAATTGCTTCAAATCGCCACCCTAAACTACGCATCTGTTGCTACTGAACGAGAAGAGCTAAGTGTTTTCACATTCGGTTACTTATGAGATGGTCACCTATCTAAAAGGAGTTTCTTCTGTTCTGAAGGGTTCGGGACCTTCTGAGATTTAACTGATTCCTGGGAGACCACTAGGGGTCAGTGCCAGGCTAATTTAACAATGAGAAATCCTGCACATTTACAGGAAAGAACCTCAAGTTGGGCGTGGGGGCGGGGGAGTGAGAAGTAGCAAAAATCCAGTTTCTTAGTCAATGGTCAATTATCCAAACAGGACCTGTCTACCCTAGGCTGAATCCTCTCACCTCTGAAGGACTTTATTTCACTCCAACTTCAGATAAATTACCTGTGCCTTTTCCAAAAATACCAGCCTGAATAATCTGATGAATATGTGTACAAAGAAGTAGAAACTAATCTAGGAACATTCCACTGAAAGGAACTTAACCTCTGGCAAGCACTAGCTGATCTCTGTCAAGTTTCACAGGTTCTTTGACAGTGTTTGGATCATGACCACGTTTTGTGTACACATTTTTAAAAACTCGTATGAATTTATTTGGATCCCAATTAATGCTGTTCTTCATGAAGCTTTACCTTTCAGCAGAAATGGCAATAGAAAACCTAAAGAATGTTAAAAAAAAACAATGAGCTTAAAATGTAGGTGACTTGTATGTTCTATATTTTAATATGTTTTAAACGTGCTGACCCACCCGCCCCACCCCTGCCCCATCGGACTGTGTGGCAAGCTGACATTAGAATCATAAACATTTTTTTAAATGAGGGTGATTTTGCTCAGATTACTTTAGACCAATTCCTCCAGGCAATCTTCACCTAATCTTAAAGAAATGTGTACTATTCGCCTGTGCCTCTGGGGACATCTTGGAAAGGGTGTGAGCTTTAAGAAGCAGCAGTGGACTGGGCAGCCTGGGCCACTTTTGTGCTGTCCAGGAACAGGACAATGTAGTCAGAGACTGAGCAACCCTACGGAACGAACACAGAATCTAAGCAGCTTTTTTCCTTCTCTGTTTGTCTTCAGTCAAGTAAAAACTAAGAGAAGCTAAATTCTATATTTCTGAAAGCTCTCAGATCCACCTAACATAAAGATCCAAGGCAAAACCAAATTTAGCTAATTAGATTAAATAAAACAAGCAAACAGCAGAGCTTGCTCCCAGTTTAACTAGAAATCCCCACCCCTCTGGATTCCATGGGGTGCCGGCATCATTCTCTCTCCCAGTAGTTGTATAAAATCCCGTTTCCCTTCCTCCTTCTCCCATTCCGAGCTCCCCCTCCCCTCTTCATTCCCCTCCTCTCTCCTCCTCTCCTCTCTCAGTAGGACAGTCAGGTCTTGGTGAGTGGCTGGAAATTCCAATGTCATCTTCTATTAATAAAGAACAATTAGTGTTCTGCCTGTCTTGCCTTGAGGACCATGCATCAAAGAAGATGGAGTGTGCACTGGGCAATTGGACCCTAGGCAAAGCCCTGTCCCATCTTAGCAGCCCCCACCCCACCCCCGCCCCCCACCCCCGGGTAGGGTGCAGCCAGGCAAAGCCGCTAATGCCCTTGGCCAACCACTGGGCTCCACTTGCCGCCTGACACAGACCCGCCCTTAGCCTCTGTGTTGGCCCTTTTCCCTTGGTCCAGCCTCTGCCCAGATGTGAATTCGGTAAAGACAGATGTGGCCTCCTTGTACTGTGTGTCCCTTTTCTCTCTGAGATGCCATCTCTTTGTGCCTAGAACAGATTCCTCTAAATTTGGGAAAGAATCCCAGGAAACAGCCTAGCATAGTGCTTGGGAAGCGCTCCTGCTCCCAGGACCACCTGAAAAACGATGGAGTTCCAGCAGGATTCTCAGTTCAGATGTTCACCGTGTCTATGACCTAGGGCAGATCATTTAACTAAGATATTGTTCCACTATCATTGAACTACAAGTCATACATGCCATAATAGACACTGAAAACTGGAAGATGGTAAATACTGGATGCTCACACTTCGCTAGTGCGTCTCTTCCAGTTCCCAGTTCCCTGTGTGCTGAGTGCCCAAATCAGTTTGGGTCAGGGCATAGAAAATCAGAGCAGTCCAGTTCCTTGGGCTCCCCAAAATCAGCCTGGGTTTTCTGGAGCCCCTTTCCCCTCTGTGCTTATTCTAAGAGCTCCTGTCTTGGGGTCTGCCAACAACCTGACCCCCGAGGATGGGAGGTGGGGACAGGCTAGCAACAATAAGAAGCTGGTGCATGGGTGTGAAGCAGATTGATAAATGATAGGTGTATCCTCCAAAGCAAGGAAGTCTTTGGGGGCTGTTGCCTGCGCTTTGTTTTGAATTGAGAGGAGGCTGGCAGAGGGCAGATGAGCAGCCTGAGATAGCACTGAGCCACCCCCGGTGGACTTGACCAGGGGATTCCTCTGGTTGTCTGAGGTCTAGAGGACCTGATGATCTCTCAGGCAGGGAGTGAGGAGGCTGTGTGAATACCCTGACCCTGTAGAGAAACAGCTGTCTCAGCTGTACAGAGTGAGACCCACCCTACAGTTGCTCTTTGCCAAAATCAGAGCTTCAGTTTTTCAATACCCTTGCCAACCATGTTGCTGATTAACTTTGGGCTGGTGACCACAGCCTCTGCCCCCTCCAGACAGAGTGGAGCTGGGCTCTGAAGTCTTTCTTTTCCCCCCATTAACTATTTAGGAAAACCTCCTCCAGGATCTATAATTTGGCTCCAACAAAGGAATTGCCCTGGGGCTGTTTTGCTCCAACTGAGAGCCAGAAACTAATGGGCTCATTAACTAATGGGCAACAAGGATTTGGCTTTGCCTGTTTGGGGGAAGTCACTTCAGCCCCATGGTTATAAATTTTTTTTTTTCCCTCCACAAGCTCAATAACCAATAACCCATCCTCTCTCCCCTGCCATCTCCTTTACTCTGTTCTCCTTTCTCTTCCCCAGGCGGAGAGGGTTGTGATGGAAGCAGGGTCATGTTAGGCAAGGCACTTGTCTTGGCCAAGGGGGGTCTCAGCAGCTCCGGCTCTGCCAAATCCTCCAGCAGTGTGAGATGGGGTGGGTAAGTTTAAGGGACCCACCTGAGTTGTAATTCACGATATCCACTCCCAGAGCTGGGCTCTTCCGCTTCCGGGGCCGCCCCTTCTGCACGGTGCCAGTGCCATTGAAGTAAGGCAAAGCCAAGCCTCCTCCGCTCTTGGCCGCCAGCTCCGTGTAGCTCAGTTGAGGTGCATACTCCCCTTGCAAGAGGGTCTCGAAGTGTGCGCGGCAGTACACCAGGCTGTCCTTCATACCGAAATGGTCGCCTGTGGTCAAGGTCTTGTTGCAAGTGGAGCAGGTAAAGCAGCTCAGGTGATAGACAGAGTCTCGGGCGCGCATGACCATCTCAGAGGCGGAAATGCCAAGGTGGCAGCGGGCACATCTCTGCACAGAGAACCTTCTGGAAGCAAACAGGAGCGTCAGGGTGCCAGCTGGTGCAAGGAGGACCCATCTCCCACTCACAGCGCCAGGGTTTGGTCTGCAGGAGCCCAAGACTCGACTGGCGGGGAGAACTGGCTGAGGGCCATTTTGGAAATCAGCTTTATTTGCCCAGTGACCTATACTGGTTCTGGTGAACCAGAACAAAAGCATCCTTACGGGAAAGTCAGAAGAACTAGGAACTTAGTAGCTTCGACGTATTTAAAAAAAAAAAAAAAAAAAAAAAAAAAAAAAAAAAAAAAAAAAAAAAACCAGCAAAACTCTGAACTGGCCCAACTCGAAGCCCTATTGAAAGAATATTGTTACAACCGCCAAGTGAGAAGCCTGGCATTACCGGTAACGGAAGAGTACCACTCTTGGATGTAGGCGTGTGCCTGGCTATCCCAGAAAACGGGAATTCTGCAGAAGAAAGGCTATTCTTTTGGCGGCCCTCCTGCTTCTGCTCAGAGGGCAGCTAGGTCACTTCCACATGCTCGAATCTTTCTCAAGCTGCTGGTTTTTATTGCTGTTGTTTGCTTGCTTTTTTGTTTTGTTTTGTTGGTTTTTGTTTTCTTCGATCTGGTTCTGGCTAGCCATTTGGGGAGCAGTAGCCTGTACATAGCCATGAACTATGTCATCCACTTGGTCACCGCTGCCCGGGCCAATAGTAAGGAAGTTGACCAATTCACATTAAGGGGGACCAACAGAACCAAAGTCGTGTTCGCCAGAGACCTGTCCACTGGCTGTTCTCCCAGATTTCTCAGCTGAGTTGTGTAGCTGGGAAGAGCTAGGAACCCTCATAAAGCTCTCTGCTGCCTGGGATCCTTCTCGCCCATCCTCACCCATGGCGTGCACACAGCTTTAAGGCAGGCATATGTAAAGAATGTCCCCCATCTCAGAAATAACTGTACCCTGGACGGGCAAAACAAAACAAAAACAAACAAACAAAAGAACAAAACAAACAAACGAAACGAAACGGGCATAGAGAGGCGACTCCCGGATTCCCCGCAGGTGGCTCCAACCAGGTGTATTGGGTCAGAGGAGTGTGTGACTGGGGGGGGGGGGGGGGGCGCGGGGTGGAAGTACCTGTAGTAATCCTCTTTGCAGTAAATGCTGCCGTCCTTGGCAAAGCAGGTGAGCTCAGACTCCAGGGCCAGCTTACATTCACAGCACTTCAGGCACCGCAGGTGCCACTGTTTGTCGACGGCCAGGAGATAATACCTGTCGGAGATCTTGCCTCCGCAGCCGGCGCACAGAGCGGGCTTCTCGGGGCTGAGCGGAGGCATGCCCTGTGAAGCAAGCAGAAGTCAAGGCTGATGGGAGGCGAGGCGCGGGGGCGCTGCCCGCTGCCGCACAACCCGGGACGCCTTTGGCAGAGCGAGTCCCCCAGCACAGGAGCGCGCATCATACCAGGGGCCACCGGCACACAAAAGCAAGAGCAGGGGAAGCATGCCCAATTTCTCCCTTTTCAACGACCAGTTAATTCCGTTTCTTAGGGGTTTGCCTGGACCAGCGTCCCGGTTCTCTTGGCCCGGTGACCCTAGCACCCGGACATTTAGAGCCTAGAGAATGGTTTGATAAGTGTCCCAGAATTAGAACAGCGAAGGCTAAAAATTTGTGACTTTCAGACAATACACAAAATAAAACAACAGAGCCGTGGTTGAGAAGTAAAAAGAATTCTGAAGTACACAAATTTTTTTAACACAAACAATACTATAAATCAATTTTTTTCTGAATTTTAATAGGCGGAGTAATTTGGCCGGCATTGTTGTGACTCGGACATGCTTAGCAGATGTTGCTATTCTGTAAGTTCAAGGCCGTCGCCCTGTTCCCATAAGGCAGTGAAGTGTCTGTCCCGAAGGATGGACCCCCATCCAGCCTTCTCTGCACACGCGCTCTTTTCCCTAGCCAGCATAAACAACATAGATCTTCCTCTTGAAAATGTGATTCCCAAATGAAGCTTTCCACCTAGGTCCCAACTGAGGCTAGCTAAGTCGGTAAAACTCACTCTGAGGATCCCAGTCGAATTTGGTTGCTGTTTCTTATTTTTAAATAAAATAGCCACGAAAGATGAAAAGAAGTTACTCGCTGGATCCTTTCCTCAGACTAGCAGAAACAATCCGGGCTTCCCCTACTACAACTTGGCGACACGGGAAAGTTAAATTTCTCCTTTTACTCAGATCATGGGTTCTTAATTAACGGTACTAAGGGCGATAGTGTGTTATTTAAGGAGACGAAAAACCTCGCTGAGTGGCTAGAACCATCTCGGGTCAGGTTGAGCTACAGTCCCCGCAGTGACAAGAAAGGTTTACACAGTACTGTTCGTCAGGAATCATTTCTGCAGACTTCTGTAGTTTTCTCCTTCCAGTCCATAAGTGGAGAGGGGAAATGCTTAGATTACTATTAATTTCACGAAGACATAACTGCTATTACGAATTGTAACCGGCAGTGGTAGCTGATTGCTTCTCTTGGGTTTTCAGAGTTCGTGTTCTTGCTTTTAGACTAGGGGGCCGCTCCTTCTCATTTTTATTCGATTTCCCGCTACACAAGACACCCTCCCCATAAGAAAGAGAAACGCAATTGTGTGACCAGGGTAGCTGAACCGGCATGCCAGAGGCCCTAACCATCTCTAGATTCGGGTGTTGAGTTCCGAGCGAGCGTTCTAAGAACTGGAAACCCACCAGTGCGTGGGTTTGGTCGGAAGGTCTGGTCTTCCTCCATCCCAGAGACTGGATTCCCAGGGCTTCAGCCGTGCCGGCAAACGGTCCCCTAGTACCTGCCTGCACCAAAGGCTTGCCCTGGAGGCGGCGGATCCGGCCTTGCGGCCGAGTCACCAGAGACCGGAGTTTGGTGCTGGCAAGGAGCAAGCCCGCTCCTTCCAAGGCCCGCTGCCCTGCGCGCTCGCGATCCGCCGCTACAAAGACCGGTGAACTCAGAACCGCAGCATCCCAGACACCTCGGTTCGGAAAGGGACCCTTGCCTAGCAAGCAGACCTCTCGAGAAAACCCAGCGAGCGTCCCCAGGAAGATATCCCCGGGACCCGACATCCCCAACCTGGGCAGGCCGGAGACTGTGAGTTTCTCCAGCGCCGCACCAGGGCCGGTCCTTACCGCGTCGCGGCCGTTGAGCTGAGTGCCTTTGGCCAGACGGGCCTCGGTCTTGGATCTGCGCTCCATCTCCTCCATGATGCCTTGGATGTGGCCTCCGGAGATCCCGTGGAAGAGCATGGCTGGGGGGCGGAAAGGACACGAATTGTTTTCAGCTCGGCACCCCACTATTTCCATAAACACGCGCCTAGGGCTCTCAGTTCATCCGCGTGAAGAAGCAAAGAGGACCCGCCACAGGGCTGCGCGGTGACGGAGCAGTAGAGACGCGTGGGGACAGGAGGGCAAGAGAGAAAAGAAGAAAACGACAAACGACAGAGTGGAAATAGATCTATTGAAGAGGGAAAAGACCCTAGTCAAAAAAAAAAGGGGGGGTGTGGGGGACGGGGAAGGAGGGAAAAAAAGGTCCGGCGCTTCCCAGAAGGAGATGTGCAGAAAACAAACAAACGCGGACGGAGAGGGAAGCAGGAGAATCTTACTGCATTGAGAGCTCGAATTACTAATGAAAAACAACTGCCGCGGGGGCTGGGGGGGGGGGCGCAGGGGGGGGAGGAAAACAAAATCTGAGGAAGAAAGAAAAATAGTTTTGAACACAAAGAAAGAAAACGAAGTGTTATATCCAGCGTCCCCGGCTGCCGGCAAGTTCCCAGTGCCTGTAGGTTGGGTTGGGGACTGCTCCTGCCGGAGCTGTGTCCAATTTGTTAAGAGACTAAAGCCAGCCCATTTTTGATAATTTAGTAGGAGGAGTCCTCTCCCTGGAGCTGCCACGGATTTTTATTCAGACAACAAAGACCTGTCATACTCCTCTCAACCCCCTGGTGATGGGCAAGCAGGGACAAACATTTCAAAGGGGTGGGGGACTGCAGGGGGAGGCAGAAGGAGGGGGCCCTTACCCCCACCCTCCACCCCCCACACGCGCGCCTGCACACACACACACACACACACACACACACACACACACGCACACCCTTCCAAGAGTTCTCAACAGTCCTGTTTTAAAAAGGGTAAAGGAGCCCTTATTGTCCAAGTCCTGGATGGAGCAGGCGGCCGAGCCAGGCTCATTTGATCCCAGTTCATCAGACCCCAGCCCAGCGTACACAGAAGATGAGCTGCGAACCTTAAGTTTCCTTCTCCTGGGCAGGCTTTTTTAAAATCCCCCCACCCAGTTCACAAGGCGTCTGTCACCAGGAAGGTATCAAACCCGCAGTCTTAAGGGCACCGCACGGAAATCGCGCCTGTAATGCCTGCCCCTTTCCTCATCCCTTCTTTCTCAACTCACTTTTTAAAGCACTCTTCTGACGGTTGTCTACTCGCCTCACCTCTCCGAGGGCAGGAGGCACCATCAGGCTCCGAGGCGTCCCCCTAAGTGAAAAGGGGCGTGGAGAACCTACTTTTCCGGGTTATTACTTTGGGAGAAGGAGTGGGGGGAAATACATATACAGTCTGAAATTTTTGAGTGTAGAGGCCAGGGCATGGTTTTGTAGACCCAGATAGTCAACAGAACTCTGACCATGGAGGACTGACTCTTTTACGTAATTCTAGATCGAAGGCAAACTAGTGGAGATTCTAGTGTCCCGTTTAAAATTTGTCAACTTGCGTGGGACTCGGGGGAGCTGGGCGCCCGATCGGGATAGGACGAGGCATTGGCCGCTGGCGTTCGGCACACTTCGGTGGGTGTGAAAGGGGCTCCGGGTGGAGGCTGGGAGGTGAGAACTAACAGGCAGGATGGCAGACTGCTCTTCACAAGAGATGGTATTGTTCTGTCGCCCTCTGTTCTTGCTAGCGCGGCCCTTCCCCTCCCTCTGGTCCCATTAAAAAAGTGTCCACAATACTCTGATATTGTGGATTCCCTGCAACGGCCAGAAGACCCCTAGGATCGCGGAGCGAGGACCAGCGACGGGAACTTAATCTGAAAGAGAAGAAAGCCTAGCCGCTCTCACCCCGCCCGGTCTTCGCGGCCGCCAGCCTCTGTTTCCCCACCTCTCTGCCGCCTTGCCGGAGATCACTGGGGCTTCAGTCTAGACACCCAGAGCAGCGGCCCGGCAGCAGGCCCGCCTCCCTCCACTCTGCCGGTTCCACGTGGAGCTTTAGCCCAGTCTGGAGGGAAGGCTGAGAAGAAGCTGGGGGAAAGGGTTATCGGAAGAAGAGAAGAAAGGAAAGAACACAGGATGAGAGGACGACTTAGGAAGGAGGGAAGGAGAGAAGGAAGGAAGTGAAAGAGGAAGGAAGGGAGGAAGAAGGAATGCAGAGAAGGAGGAAACCACCCCGGTGGAGCAGTCTCACTTCCTGTACCAAAGCTTCGCCTGCCTTCGGAGGCTCCTGGGGTCTCTTCTACCATGAAACTCAAGCTTCCACTGTTTCCCCATCCTTTTTTTTTTTTTTCCTCTCTCAGGGTCAAAATAATGTTATTTGCAGACTGGACGCTTTTAAGGTCCTCTGGGTACCAGAATACAGCTCATAAAACACAATTTCACACAAAAAACGAAGCCAATCAAGTGGAGAAAACTAAGCTGAAGAAACACTCCTCTCCCCCGCCCCCCATTTTGGCAGCCCTACCTGACAGCAGGGCGGCTATTTACTGTAAGTAATGTAATTAGCCCCTTTGGATGGAAATCAATGAGCTCTTCAAACCCACGTGCACACACGAAGGGCCCCAAGGAGGGACCTGGGGCAGGGGCCCTTTCGGAGACAGCAGGTCCTCTTACAAAGGGGCAGATTGCCTTCATACAAGTCAGCAGTTAAAGTGACTCCGGGGGCCCAAGGAGGAGGAGAAATGGGGGGGGGGGTACCCAAAGAACTACTCAATTAACCCAAAGCACCAAGTAAATACAAGACTGTGGTCCACTTTGCTTAGTTCCCCCCTCCCTACATCCTTCCTCACTTTCAAATAGGGGTGTTTGGAATTGGCTTTGGTTATTGGATTTTGGTCCTGAACTCTTCAGCAAGAACATTAAAAACAAAAACAAACAAACAAAACAAAACAAAAAACAGGACTTTGTGGAAGGAAAGTTTAAAAACACCTCTTAGAAAAAGCCATAGCGTTGGGAAGAGTCCCTAGGGAAGCTGGGCAATGACATCTTGTCAGCCTTCGTTCATTCACCCTTTCATCCAATCCACTTCCTCTGTACATATCTTTAAAGCATCTATAAGGGTGAGACAGGCAGAGTATGTCCTGCCCTCAGCACCCTAGCTGAAACAGAGCTAGGACTGCTCTTTCTTATAAAATTCAGGTTATAAGTTCCAGTGCCCACAGGGATTGGCCACTTCCACAAAGACGAGAACTGCCAAGATTTTTTTTTTTTCTTGCTCTGAGAATGTAGGAAGTCTTTGGAAAGGTGGAAACGGGGCAGGGTCTGCTAGAGTTTGGGAGGTCCCAGTTAGTTTGGGGGAAATAGCTCCCCATAGGTCCAGCCTACCCTCCTCTCACGGCTCCTCAAAAAGAAACCCTGAAGGGGTAGAGGGGTGAAAAATAGCCTAAGACTTAGCTGTGTCACAGGAGTGTGCCAACCTTTTGTCTAGGACATAAGTGACTGAAATAGGGAACGCATCCTGGCAACTTTGCCAGGTGAAAACACTCCTTTTACCCAGGAAGTGTTTCCCTTTCTCCCAACTCCAGGCTGAATGGTTGGCACATGTTCCATAAAAGTTAGAGCACTAGCAAGATCAAGTCCAGAGACTAAGACTTCACCTCCATTAATGGGACAGGTGCATGGTGTGGGGGCTCTCTTGCCCACACTCCCAGAAGGATCTGGAATCTTCCTTCTAAGTCCAAAGTAGTACTAGAGATATCGGGGCAGAACGCTGCCCACCCCACCCCCACCCCCCCCCCCCAGCATAGGCAATCTAATGTGTTCTTTTCTGTTCTATGGCTATCCATGGGGCTATTGTTACAACTTTCAGAAGAGTGGGACTCTGGATTCTAATGAGACAGAAGATTTTAGATTTAGAGTACCAGATGACATTATTTCCAGAGGAGACTAAAGGGCCATTGTCTAGGCTCTGGCATCTCACCTGGGAAAAGGTCTCTGGCTTACAGAGGCTAGAAGGGAAAAAGTGGAGATATCCTGGATTGCTCAAATAGCTGCATAGCTTTAGGCTGGAGAACAGAAAATAATCCAGCAAACGGCTGGCTCATCATTTAGCTTAAAGAGACTCAAGGTCTCTTTAGCCCTGGATTTTGGTGACCATAATCTAATGCTCACAAGTTTGACCCTGAACGTTTAGGCCATCCCTTCAGATCTTCAGAATACTCTTGTTTGGAAAGGCAAAGCTCTGGAGATCTCGTCTAGAATTTGGCGTGTGTGTGTGTGTGTGTGTGTGTGTGTGTGTGTGTGTGTGTGTGTGTGTATCTCAACAGCCAAGAGAAGTCAGAGGTGTTATGGAGCTAGGAGCCCTGCTTTCCTTGGTGTCGCCATCCGGTCTTGGATGACCAGGCTCCTCCGGCAAGTCCCCAAACCTTTCTCTGAACAGCCCAGACAGATCTTTCGATGAGCAAACCTTCCCCACAATGATGCTGGCAGGTCCAGTCTGCTTCTGCTTCAGAGAGCGCCTCTGATTCAGTCCTATCAGTAAAGTTTGCCTCAAGACAAATGCAAGGGAGCCTTCAAGGGTTGTGGCGGCAGGAGCCGGGAGGCTTAGGAGATGCTGCTCTCGCCGCAGCCCAGCTGCCACACCCGCACCCTTGCCTGCTGCTCTCAGGGACAGACGTCTATGCCGGGTCAGGGCCGGGCAAGTCTACACCCTGGGAGTGCTGGAACACCTGCGGCCTCAAAAACCCTTGTCAACTGCTTGCTATCTTCAAACCTGTGTTCTTGAATCTTGCTCCCCCCGTCACCCCCAACAGGGCTGCCGCCTCGTCTAGAATATCGAGCTTCTGAAACTTGAAGCCCCTTTACCTGAAGCTGGCTGTGCCGGTGGCCCTCAGAGCCCCCATAACAAACAATAAACGCTAGGCAGCGCAATGGATCGGGGATGAACAACAACGAGATGTGAATAAAGCCAGCTGCCATTCAAGCCTTACAAGGTACTTGCTTTCAGCAAGGTGAAGCCCCGGCAGCTCCGCCGAGGGTCGCGAGTCCCTGGTGCCTGTGCTTTTCCAGGCCCAAGACACTCTGACCTCTGCCCAGAGCCCTGACCCTAGACTCCAAGAAAGTCAACGGCGGCGTTCAAGAAAAGAGCCA